CCAAGCCATTTTTTACATTAAAAAAACTAAAAGTTTTGCAAGTAAAAACAAGACATCTCCACTTTTGCAGATGGTGCCAAATTGTGCTGAAATGAGTCGTACTGTGCCAAAACACCTATGCCTTTACTAAAACCTCTGTAACTTTGCTTTAGTTTACATCAGCTGCATGAATCTTTGCACAGGTAATGTCCACAAGAGAGTTTAGGGTTCAAAAGTGTGTAGCCGTACTCATGGTATTTTAAAAAGGTTTATACATGGTATAATGCAGAAGAACTTCAGGCAAGGGGAATAAAAAACACCTTATGTTCCATCCTCATTATCTCTGAAACTATAGCAGCTGCTGTGATACATTTCTGACGGAACATTCCAAGTGTTAGCTTTATTCTTATACCAAGATTATTTAAATAAAGTTTGTAATTGCTGAGAAAATCTCAATTAGATTTGGGCATGTTATGTCGAGCACCAAGAAAAAACCTTGGGGCTTAAGAGGTTAAATTAACGCAGCTTTAATGTAAATTTACTTATTTCAAGGTAGAGTTAAAAGAAAACAGGAGAGAAGCAAAAAGATGTAAGAGGTTGGCAGGGAAGCAAATTAAAATACTAAATATAATCACTTAAAAACTTTTTCTACAGACTATGCCATGGAAATATTATAAATGACCAAACTTTAGCAGCACATTGTTATTTATGAGCAGCTGCAGAGAGTTCACTGCTGCTGAGGAGACTGGAGTCTGAAGCTTCAACAGAAAGACTGAAGAGGCAGGAAGCCATCGTTTGTGGATCAGTGTGTGTGCGGAGCAGAGACTCACCTGCGGTCAGGCAGGATGGGAACCCTCCAGCCTTTGATGAAGCTCAGGCTGCTGTCGGTCAGCTCCACCTGCAGGGGGAGTTTGGGCACCCAGACGGTGAGCTCCAGCGGCGCGCTCAGGTGCTCGTAGCTGAAGATGACCCTGGCGTTCATGGAGCCTCGCGTCTCCTTTCCGTTGACAAACACGTAGTCGCAATTCATGGAAACCTGTAAAAGATCACGGTCAGGTATCAGAGGCCATGTGAAGGTCACGTCAGAGAATCCAAGAGATCCACGATGATGTAAGGTGCAGTTTGGACCCACAGCTCAGCATTTCAGCAGAAAATGAACAGATATTCACTTCACCTAAAAGTAATTGCACTTTGGAAGTGTGCAGGTTTTCAGATACATATTTCCGGTTGTATAAAACATCTGAGCAAAGTAAAAACGCTGTGGAAACCAGAATAAAGCTGTTTATAAAAAGAAGCACACTGTAACGGTTTTCCTCTGGCTCAGTGTGGCTCCAGAGTGTGAAGTTTGTATTTACATTCCATCCAGGTGAATTGCCAACCTTGAGAAGAGATACGGAACAAATCAGTGAAAATCTGCTCGTGTCGGGTCAGAATAAAAACCCGCCGGATTTTCAGCCTGGGCAGAACAAAGCCGAGAACAATCACTGTAAACAAAATGCTCTGCGGCTGCGGGCTCTTCTCTAATCTCATTTGCATCCTTTATACAGTCAAAGAAGAGCTGCTAAGTCGCCCCGGCGTTTGTCGAGCTCGTGGAGAGCAAATCCAGCATTTCAGCCACGTCCCATCTCCACCGGCACCTCTCCTGCACTCATAATGATCTGCGGACAATTACACGCAACACAGCAGGAAAGGCTTTTAGGCAAACATGTCACTCCTCTGACATTTGAGTTGAACTTTGCTTACGCCACCTTCGGCTCATAAATAAACATGTTCACACGTTTCACCTTTCACGAGACATTCCTGTAATCTGATATCTGTTGTGTTGAATCGGCTGCTGAGGCTGAAACACATCGACTTTTCCAAATTTAACCTGAATCCATTTTTTGTATCAATGTAACCCCCCCCCCCCCCTTTGAATTATAACTAAAGAAACTGCATTTCCTGTGAAAACGCAGTGTGAATGCTTATTGCTGAAGAACTTGCTGAAAAACAGCTGAAATTAGCAAAAAAAAAACATGCTGAATTGTAGCTGAAATGGAAGAAGAAGCCTTAATTAGCAGAAGAAAGCAGAAAGAACAAGTTTTTGCTGAATTGTGTATAAATTAGCAGAAATGAGCACAAAAATTAGGAAATTAGCTAAAAAAAAAAAAGGTTAAATTAGTTTTACAAAGTAGCTGAAAAGTAGCTGTAAAGGCAGAAAGAAGATTAAACTACCAGAAGGAAGTGGAAAGAGCTGAAATGAGTTCAGAAAATGTGTAATTAGCTGAAAAGGCTAAATTTTTGCATAAAACAGCTAAATAGCAGCTGAAATAGCAGAATAAGCAGAAACTAGCAGAAGAAAGATGAAAGGAGCATAACAAGCTGAAACTAGCAGAAAGAAGTAAATTAGGTTGAAAGTAGCAAAACTTTAATTTATTTGAAAGCAGCTGAAATTTGCTCAAAAATGTAGCTGAAAAGGTAGAATATGTTTAAATCAGCAAAAGAAAACAGAAAGAACACACATTTGCCCAATTAGGATGAAATTAGCACAAAAAAGTGGAAATTATCTGAAACAAAAAGCTGAAATTAGCAACACCCCCCTCCCCCCAAAAAAGCTGAAGAGCAGCTAAAAATTTTCAGAATCAAACTTAAATGACCAGAAGGAAGTGGAGAGAGTACATTTTTGCTGAATTTGGCTGAAAAAAGTTGAATCGAGTATAAAAAAGGTAGAATTAGCCGACAAGGCTAAAATTAGCACAAAACAGCTAAATAGTAGCTGTAATAGCAGAAAATGCTGAAACTTGCAGAAATAAGCTAAAGGAAGTTAGAAGAAGTACAAAATTGTTGTAGTTAGCAGACGGAACATGAAAGGAGATCAAAACAGCTAAAAAAAGCTGAAAGTAGCGGAAAGTAGCTAAAAAAAGTTAAAATTTGCACAAGGAAGCTGAACGAAGCAGAACAAAATGTGGAAGGAGCAGTACAAGGTTGTAAACAGATCTAAAGATTTTTAAGGATGTAAAATGAGCTCAATTCATCTTTGAGGAAAAAAAATGTCAGAAAAGGCTAAATATTCCAAAAAGCTAAAGTTGCACCAATACCAAAAGTCCTAGCAGGATTGTCCTGAAAGAGCTGAACACTTCGATTCATGATTTGATGAAATAGTTTGAAAACTGCGGGACGAGAATCGCGTTGAAAGACGTACAGAAGAAAAAAGTATCAGAACAGAGCTTCATAAGAATTCACACAATAAAAACCACAGGCAGTCCCGTCTAAAACTGAATTATTAACTGCCTTGGATTTGAAGGGCTTTGCTTTTGGGTCTCCACTGAAGATTTATCTGGTGTTGGGCGGTGGTGAGTTTTGTAATCAGAGGATCTAATCTCTGGCGAAGGGAGGGGGGGCTGGCCAGTCTTCTCAGGGCTGGGGATTCATCACAACTTGGAGGTCTGTCTCATATAAATCCCCACATTCAGACAGAGCGGAGCTGAGGCGGGGCAGGGCTTCTACAGCCGACAGGCTTCCTCTCTGGCTCAGTAACGCCATTTTGCAGAGTTTGAGCCGATGTTTGAAAAATCTAGTCGTTTAAGGCTCAAGCTGATTAGCAGTGGTGTCCACCTTGAACTGGGTTGAATTCAAAACCTATCAAAACGTGTTCAGTGATTTATGAAATATTTTGCTAACGAACAGATGAATGGCTCCGTCTTCTCCTCCAGTGGCGAGTGATAAAGAAACAGACTGGACGCCACGCAAACACGTTGGTGGAAACGTGCCGCTTCCGCCGCAGCACCACTTCAGTCCCTGCAGCTCTAGCGGCTGATGAACTTGGCTGGCTAATTGCAAGTAAAAAGCTGTTAGCAACTCTGGGTATCAGTGGTCCTGCGGGGCTTGCTGAGGAGAGCTTTCACACACTGAGCCACCACATGCCGCCGCGCTGCTGCTAATGCTCTGTGGCATCCTGCACGACGCCAGCAGATTGCCTGGGTGGAGACATGCCGTCAGAACGAGCTCCGGTCGGGTTTAGTTGCAGGTCTCAGGGCGCAGCACGAACGACTGCTGGTGTTAATAAAGGTGCAGAAACCTCAGGGCTTCTCACACATTTATTCCATAACGTTAACTGAACTAATTTAACGAGTTAAGTCAGAAGCTTCTGTCTTTTAAGCGGCTAACGCTTCAGTTGTGAGGTGACCCCTCACGCTGGTGCATCACTGAGTTCTGGGTGAGTTCAGCCACGTTCTGCAGCAAAAAGCAGTTCAACTTTGACACTTTGAGTTGCATCTTTAGCAGGAAAAACGCATCATGCGAGCAAACCCTCAGCTGGTTATGTACATGAACAGTTTGATATGAGAGAAAAACAGCAGTTACTGGTTCCAACAGGCGCCCTGACTGTGTGAATCTTTATGAAGCATTCTCGCTGTTGTGATCCGTTTTTCTTCCGCACGTTGTTCGACGTGATTCTCGTCCCACAGTTTTAATTTATTTCAACAAATCATAAATTAAAAAAACAGTCAGCTCTTTCAGGACAATCCTGATCTGACTTTTGGTATTGGTGCAACTTTAGGTTTTTGAAATATTTAGCCTTTTCTGCCACTTTTCTTCTCATAGAAAATGAATTGAGCTCATTTTACATCCTTCAAATCTTTAGTTCTGTTTACAACCTTTTTCTGCTCCTTTCACATTTTGTTCTGCTTCAGCTTCCTTCATCCCAAAGTACAACAAATGAGATAAAATACCCAAACCTGTGGAGCAGACTGGTTTTAAATAATAAAAGTTAGAATTTAAACTGGGCTAACGTCTCTTTGGAGCCTGGATTTTATTAGTTTGCTCCTACAAGCTGAAAAAGGGTGCATAGCACAAAAACACTCTGCTCTCTGACATTTATTATAACTGTTGTTAGTGCAGAAAAACTTTGGACTGCAGCCGCCTGGAGTGTGCATGTGCAACTTCATACTTTGAGCATTTCACAGCTCCGTGGGGGGTTTCCCCCGAAAATCTCCACTCTGAGACCTGGATTCATAAACCTTTGGTTTCAGAGAGAATGAGGGCTGTTGTCGTGTAAATGAACGGCCGAAGGAAAAGTTGGTAGAGCTGCTGTGTCTCAGCGAGAAGTGTCGCTGGTCCAAATCCCGGCCCGGGATCTTTCTGGGTGGAGTTTGCATGTTCTCTCCGAGCTGCGTGGGTTTTCTCCCACAGACTAAAAACATGCATGTTAGGATGATTGGTAACTCTAAATTGTCCGTAGGTGAGAGAGAGAGAGTGAATAGTTGTTTGTCTCTATGTGTCTCTGTGATGGATTGGAGACCTGTCCCTGGTGTCCCCCGCACCTCTTGCACATTGACTGCTGGATATGGGCGTCAGTGACCCCGCGATCCGAAAAGGAAGAAGCGAGTAAAGATAATGGATGGAAGTTTAACTTACACAGCGTTACATGTGTCCTTCAATGATGTTTAAAGTGTTAGAGAAAACAGGAAGTCAGTCAGACTTCTGCAGCCACTTGGAGCCGTTTGTCATGTTAGGAGAGGGTTTTGTTCATCTTCTGCATGCACACAAGGACAGTTGCACACAAACACCCAGGAACTTTTAGATTGCACCAAATAAGATTGAATGCAACACGTGTTTCATTACTGATCCAACGAGGTTGCACTCTCGTCCCCTTAAAGGGGAGGAGTCTAGAGTCGAGTACGGCACTTCGTTTCCAGTTCCGGATCGCGGCGGGTCGGGACGAAGTCCAGCGCTGCAATAATTCTGTAACTTTTATCTGCCTTAATAGAAATTAAATGCGAAAACGTTATTTTTTTTCTGCTGTTCTTTGTGTCGGCTCGAGTCCTCGCTCCACACGGGAATAACGAGCTGGCTTCGAACGCTGTGGTCGAACGGCGATAACAGCATATTAATTCATTGGCAGATGAGACTTACACGTAACAGTGTCCAACATTAGAAGTGACTAGTTATAAAATAGACCAGTTCCCTTCGTCCATGGGAAATATTTCCCTATTGTCAAACATCATGATTGTGACTGGCCAAATGACTCGCGTTCCACCAAAGATGTTCTATTGTAGA